AACATATTCACCATTCAAGATTATAGTGTAAATATGAACACCGATCGACAACACAATGACAATTTTCTAATGTGAATATTAATGTTGATTAATGATATGAACATTTACATCATTTGTATATGAGAGACACTACCAATCTCAAAAAATTATTACTAAATTGAAATCCAGCATTGAAAAATCAAAATCAATAGCATCAATAAAATCAGAAATTCAAAAAATCTCAATGTCTCAAAAAATAAAAAATCATCACCCACATCTTCTTCTTCATCATCTTCATCTTTATCTTCATCTTCAACAATTCCTAGAATTCTACCAATCCAAATCAAACAAAACCCACCTTCTCTCTCTACAAAGAAAGCCCCATTACTATGCGAGAGACCTTACTCCTCATAATTCCAACATTCATCTCTTAAACTTTCAAAGAAGTCCACACACAGTAAAACTAAAAACATAAATAGAAATGGAAACAAAACAACATCGCTGAAGCTTATCACCAACTGTGATTGTCGGGCCACCGTCAATTTCGACTGGATCAAACTTGTTTCGACATTCGATGAAAAGATGAATACGACCTCATAATCGTATCCCGTTCATCACCGTCTTTACCTTCGCCAATTGTAACTGTCACGCCACCGTCGATTTCGACTGGATCAAATTTGATTCGACATCTGATGAAGAGATGAATATGATCTCATAATCGTATCCCACTGAATCCCGAGCACACGGTGATGATGCAAAATTGTTAAAACAAAAAGAGCAAAAAATGGAAACGTATATATCAAAAAGAGCAAAATATGAAAAACATGTATATCTTATTTTGTGTGTAATACATATGAATAAAGTAAAATAAGGGTATAATAGTCTAACAAAAAATCTAAATCAAGAAAAAAGGATCTCATGAAATAAAACTATAAATACATGAGACTAATTAAGTTACAAGAATAATTTGTGAACTTATTAAAATAAAACACCTCTAAAAAAGATTTATAAATAAATCTCTCAAATAAAATTAACATATTTCTAAAACACCCGATATACACTAGACGCCCAGGTGCATTTGGACATTTGGTCTGCCAGATGTGCTTTTGACAATTTCTTCTTTTACATATTGACACTTCGACCCCAAAAAGTTATATTAATTACATCTCTTTACAAAATGATATTTTACCTTAATTATAAAATTACATATAGAATTATAAAATAAATTATATTTTCTCCAATTGTAATTAAATAATATTGGATTTATTTATTTTTCAAATCTCTCAACTTCACGAGCCGTCACTTCTAGTATATCTACAAAGTGAACATAGAGAAGAAAGTGAGATTCGAACCTATGACCTTGGTTTGGTAAAGAAAACTTTTACCACTTAAGTGGCATGATTTTGTTTTGTTTTGTTTTTAACTTATTTGAATAAGCCACTAGTACTATTATAAAGTGAAGGCTTCTCATGCTATTGACACAAAACATTACATTTTGATTTTCAAAAATGCTCTTATACCCTATTTAAAATATAAAATTATATAGAAAAAAGAACTAAGACCCAAAACCAAGACCTTCAATTTAGTAGAAGAGACCCTTACTACTTGAGTAGCACACAATTTGTATGCTTTTAAATTTAAATCAAAATTTATATCTTTCAAATTTAACAGCATGCACGGGGTGGACAAACACCACTAGTGTATATATTTATATTGGCTCCGTTTGGGAAGTTTTGGTTTGGGTTTTTTTGGCTAAAATAGGCTCCGTTTGGCAAGAGCTAAACGAGGTTTTTTTGGCTATTTTAGCCACAAAAGACAAAATAGGCTATTTTAGCCACAAAAAGTAAAATATCACATCCAACCCATAATCATTACATTCTTCTCTCACATAAAAAGTCAAAAAAACCAAAAAGCCAAAAAGCCATTCCCAAACCAAACTTTTTAGCCCAAGCTAAAATAGCCAAAAAAGTCAAAAAGCCAAAAAGCCAACCCACTTCCCAAACGGAGGCTAAGAAAACTAATTTGAATTATGTGTATCAAACAATGAAATATATTATATTGCAATATAATCAACTCCATACTATGATAGAATAATTAGCAATTTATAATATTTCATGTTTGGTATATATAATTTATGTATATTAACTATAGAATTCATGTGACTTAGTTTGCTCGGGTCGTGAAAACTTCAGTCCAAGTCCTATCTGAATGTAATTTGGTTTGACAGATTTTAGATCAAGCCTTGCCCTAGTTCAAAATTAAAGACTGTAAATGAGTTGAGTTGATCTGAACTTTTGAATACATATGCTTTTTTATTAAGAATTAGTTGAGTTCGAACTTGAGTCGAGGTCAAATGGAGTTTAAATTTTAGGCCAGGCCTTGACCTAATTCAAAATTAAAGGTTGTAAATGAGTAGAGTAGAGCCAAACTTTTGAGTGTTTAAACTTGTTTATTAAGAATTAGTCGAACTTGAGCTTGAGCCGGAGCCGAAATCAAATGGGGTTTAAATAATCGAGATTGAGCTTAGCTCATCAAATATTTGACAAGCTTGAACTCAACTAGAGCTTGAAAAAAAATAAATTAAACTTAAAGTAATTTACTTATTAAGATTAAAAAAAAATTATGAGCAAAATATACAAGGATGCTTATATTAATAATAAATTTACACAAACACCAAACACAAATAAAAAAATAAAATAAATTATTGAAAATTTATTTGATATATTATTAAAAGTAAATATTAATTAATTTTCTTTATGTTTGGGATTAGTCGGGCTTGGCTTGATTAATAAACGAGTTTAAAAATTGAGTTCAAGTTCATTCATTTAATAAACGAACCGATGTTAAACGATTTTTAACGAACCGAGCTTGAATTTTTCATGACAAGCTCGGTTCATTTGTAGTAATTTTTTCAGGTTAGCTTCGGACTATTCGGGTTAAGTGGACCTAAGCTAGCTCTACCCAATTCACTATAATAATAAATAAAAAACAAAAAAAAACACTAAAGAAACAGTCATCCATCTAGAAGTTTTCAACCAACAAATCCAACTGTCATAATACAAGAGAATAGGAGGATTCATAGCCAACCAATCCAGCCCTCGTAACCTTGCATTGTTCACCCACAGCCTAATTCAAAGAATATCAAGACAATTGACACAGGTAGTCACTAAAATTTGGCCACAAAAAAACAAAGCCTCTGTTTGGCAAGTGAGGTTGGAGGCTTTTTTGGCTATTTTAGCCACAAAAAACAAAATAGGCTATTTTAGCCATAACAAACAAAACATCACATCCAACCCATAATCATTACATTCTTCTCTCACAAAAAAACTCAAAAAAGCCAAAAAGCCCTTCCCAAACTAAGCTTTTAAGCCCAGGCTAAAATAGCCAAAAAAGTCAAAAAGCCAAAAAGCCAACCCACTTCCCAAACCAAGCCAAAAAGTGATTTCAAATTCCTCAATTTGTGATCAATGATCAAACCTGGTATTAGTAGTAACAGTCAATTCCAACATTCTCCACACATTTCAGATTCAAGACTCTGTTCAGTGTATGATAAAAATCCAATCTTCCATAAACCCATTAAATAATGCCAGCAACTGGCTCTCCCAAAAATGGATCAAACCGAGAATTTGTAACAGTCCATTCCAAAATGTTCTACACATTACTACTCGATCAGGACCTCCAATGAGGCTAGTTAAGCCAAAAAAGGTTAAGTCAGAATTTTTAAAATACAAATTTATTGAAAATGTGCATTTAAGGACAAGCCAGTTGGCCTATGACAGAGAAATTCAAGGACAACACAGGCCCGTTTGGTGTAACTGTTAAAACAGTTTATAAATTATAACTTAACAGATTATAGATTATGACTTTAATCAAAAGCTGTTAATCTTGGTGTAGCTGTTGAATTATAAATTTATGTTACTGAATAGTGTTTGTTAAATAAGCTGTGAAAAGTTAAGCCAAAAAAGGTTAAGTCAGAATTTTAAAAATACAAATTTATTGAAAATGTGCATTTAAGGACAACACTGGCCCGTTTGGTGTAACTGTTAAAACAGTTTATAAATTATAGCTTAACAGATTATAGATTATGACTTTAATCAGAAGTTGTTAATCTGTTTGGTGTTGTTGAATTATAAATTTATGTTACTGAATAGTGTTTGTTAAATAAGCTGTGAAATAGTTTTTTCAATTAACTTTTATTTTTTGTTATTCACTACTTGTCTATATTTCTCATAAAAAATAATAATAATATTCTATAGTTCATTTGGGTCTTTTTCTATTTTAAAAAAAAATAAAAAAAAAATTTAAGAATATAACTATAAATTAACATGTCTACAGCAAAAACTGATAATCAAAAGCAAGGGGTGAGCAGCTTCTCAGAATTTTTTGAGTTAAAATAAGCTTTTAGTATCAGAAACTGTTTGAAATAAGTTTAATCAAACAGTCTAAAATAACTTTTTCAAATTAATTCTGAAAAGCTGAAACAAACACCCCACAATTTGCCCCTATGACAGTGAGAGCCGATATAACAATTGCGAATCTCTCCGTCCGGTAACACTTACAACCATCATTTAATTCATTGAAGTCGTATACTTAAACCAACATATGGACTCTCACCTTCTTGTTCGTTTTCTTATTTTTATTTATCTATTTATTTATTTTAAACGATTTATATAAAAAAAAAATTCTTTTATTCTTTTTATGCCTTTTATATGACCACTATACTAGATAATATATTATTTACTTTTATTTTATTTTATTATATAAATTATAAATATAAAAAAAATTTAAATTATATCACATCATTAAAGAATAAATTAATTAATACATATAACATTATTTATAATTATAATAAAAAAAATAAATCATCCAATCATGAACATCCAGACAGTAATACCTTCTACAATCCAATTTCCATGCAAATTCACCATGAATAGCTGTTACTATAATAGCCAATTCTCCAGAAAAACTAGTATAAAGAAATATAAGAACAAATAAAATTCAAAATTGATAAACACAACCAATAAAAACAGAACTTCTCTATTTTATTGCAAGGGATTAAAATAAAAATGGTTACAATTATTCGTAGTAAAACTCAAAACCCAAATCCAAACTAAACCATAAAGAAATCAAAGAAACCATGAACAACAAGAACAAAATTAAAATGATAATGCTGTATGATTTTAACTTTTGAGAAGTAATTTCAATGGCTTGATATCTTAAGATTGAGAGACTTATTGAACCATGATTTCCAGCTCCCATTCCCCTTCCTCTCAATCCTCTGCTTTTCATCAACAATGGCAGCATCATTCTCCATCTTGGGCTTCTTGTAGAGCATGAAATTCCTAACTCCAACCGACCCAATTGTCTCCCACGGACTCAAAGCTACAAAAGAAAACAAAAACAAATTCAAAATCAAAATAAAGCCTCAAAAGATTGAAATAAGAAGATTAAAAATTGTGGGTACTGAAGAAAATGGATGGAATTGGGAATGAATGAATGAATACCTTCAGTTCCAGCAATGGGGCAGTAGAGAAGGAAACTGTTGAGATCGGAGCCGAGGATTGGGAGTCGGCCCTCGCGAGCGTAGGACTTGAGAGCGGTTTCGATGACGGCGGCGACGAGTTCTTTTTCGTTGACGACGAATCGGATGGGACCCGCGGAACCCAGGACGGTGATGCTGATCAAGAAGCGGTTACCGCCGCCCTTGCCGCCGCCGTGGCTCTTCTTCTGCTTGTACAGCAACATCTTTGCGAACCCACAAAAGTTACCCAAAACAACACAAAAAAAGGAAAATCTAGAGCGAGAAGATTGATTGATATGGATATGGGGCTTTATGAGAGAGAATTGAAAAAGATGGGATTGTTGGCGGCGATGGTGGTGGTGGTTTTAGGGGTCGACGCCGATGCAGCGGTAATACCAACCTTGTTTGCAAGATCCAAAGGAGGAAGCAGAGGCTACAGAGATCCCCCTTGTTCTAAAGAGGGAGATCATGAACCGATTGCTGAAGATTTCCACCATTCACAATGGGATAGACTCAATTCTACGGAGAAAACAAAAAACAAGAAAACTTCCAGAGGAAGAGAGAGAAGAGAGAGGGGTTGTTATGATCTCAACCTGGGTATTGAATTGCTTTATTTATATGAAAGTGATGGAACTAGGGTTAGAGAGAGAGAGAGAGAGAGGATTGTATATTTTAGGATTGTAAACGGTCACAATCAGGTTTTGGATTTTTTAGGGTTAGGGTTTGCTCATTCTCTCTCTCTCTGAATATTAAGTATATTTGTTTCTCTCTCTATAATGCACATAGATGAGCTGTTGTTAATGCACCACCCGCCGACTCGCTCTTTCCATCTCTCTCTCTATCTCTTCTAAAGAATTATCTGCTGCTACATGGCGTTGACAAAAGTCGCTCAGAAATATAAGATCATGCGGGTCCCTAGTATTCAGGAGCGAATTTCATATTATCGGGTGGTTCATAAGTACAGTTGGTAATGACCCTTGTTGCACCGAATAAGTACAGTTGGTAATGACCCTCGTTGCACCGAATAATTAGTACTCGCATTCAACCCCATCCCCCGTCTCAAAGCTGGCTTTTTGCGAAATCTAACCGACATTCAAATCGGCTGGGATTAAAAAGGAGGATTGCGTATATCGCCACCAAGCGTATGATCTAGGCTCCTTTAGAATTTAGAAATAGAGAGGATTAATCATGGGAAGATTGATAGGGATGAAATTGTAAAAGAGTGATGTTACACATTTTAAATAATTTAGTAAATATTTTATCAAATTTTTTTTATGGGTATGAGTTTGTGTAGGTTCTAATTATGTGAGAAATTTAATAAAACATTTGATAAATTATTTGAGATTTATAATATTTTCTATGATAAAATTGTATTTATTTTAATGAAAATTGTTAATATGTTTATTGTTAAATTATTTTTATATAAAATAATAAAATAAATAAGATTATGATTTTTATTTAACAAAAAATACAAAACATTAAACATTAAATATTAATATTTAAAAAAACGCCTAATAACAAGTATAAAAAAGAAATTTGCAATTGACTGGTTGACTTGCTAGACATTTGGCCAAACTTTCAATCTATCAAGCGGACGTTCGGTAACACTCAATCTGAACGAACTATTTTATTAATACCATCTCCTAGTCCAGACTGCTAATACCTCTCACCAAGGCCTATCGTAGTCCGAAGGGACTACAAATCTGGAGCTCCAAAACCAAAACAAACATGAGTCATTTTCACTATTCATCTATCACAGTCCGAAGTGAGCTGTAATAACGGAAAATAAACGGGCCTAGAGTTTATTATGATATGGAATTAACAATGTCATTTGGGAAGTTAATTATTTTAAGTCTATTTTAAAAAATAAGGAAAAAGTTAATTTTTTAATTTTTAAAAAAATATATATATATATGTAAAAAAAATATAAAAAATAGTGTGACCTAAATAAATTAATAAGTTAATAAGTTAATTTTTTTTTTCTAGTTGTGAAAATATGCTTAAACTATTTGACATTTTAGTTTTTTAACCTGGCTAAAAAAATTGTATTTAAAAGTCAGTTGCCTTTATTTTTAATTGATTTGATCGTTGTGTGAGAAAAATAATTATAAATTGGATGTGATATTTTGCCTTATTGATTATTTTAATATATTTTATTTTTTAATGAACTATTTTAATCCAACTCTCTTTTCGAATAAGACTAATATATTTTATTTTTCTGTTTAAAGTGTTAGTGAATTTTCTTTTCCCCTTAAAAAAAATAAAAAATAATGTTAGTGAATTAATAATTTGAAATTTCAAAAATAATTTTGGGAGAGTTATTAATAAATCTTATATGTTGGAACGTTGTTATGTTAGAGTATAATATTGTTATATTTGAAAAAAGTACACAAATGAGTTTTTAAATGTATTACATTAGAATGTTACATTTCTTAAGTGTTATATTTAGAAAAAATACAGTAAATAATTTTTTTTTTTTTTAAGTATTACGTTTGAGTTTTACATTAGAGTGATGGAAACGTGATCTACAAATTAACTTTCCTAAGATAGCGTCCCCCAACAAGGAATGGTATAAACATCCACCAAATCATACTTGTGACGCTTCAAATCTACACTATTGGTTGTAGTCAAGGGAAAATTACTAATGAGTCCTATGGTCAATAATCAAGCAAGATCCCAGATCGCCGGAGGAGTCAAATTAGTTTCCCTTCTAAATCCAGCTTTCTTAGGTGGCGCACTACCTTTTTGACAGATCTTAAGAGATATTGACACAATGTCTCATAAGCAACGTTACGGGTTATGTTGGTGTTAGAATATAAGTACATAATAAGCACGAATATCCTTAATTACAAAAACTCGTTCCATTACATTACATCCCAACAGAAAATTTAAATCTTCATATAAGCCTTACAAAATATCAAAAGGAAAATTTCTAACTTTTCTAAGAAAGCCAAATGTCTTCAAAGGTTTCTGGCTCGTCGTCTCCAGCTATAAGCTCCTCTTTGGCACCTGGCATGATACGCCGTGAGTTTTGAATGCCCAGTAAACGCGCACACACCCCGTTCCTTTTTCCCAATCCAATACACAATCACAAATATGACAACAAGTAATGAAGCATGATATTTAACTAAACAAATAAAGGGTTACAAAGTTAGATGTTAGGCTTCGTTTGGCAAGTTAACATTTTAGCTAAAAAGCCAAAAAGTTATTAAAAAAAGTCAAAAGCATATAATCTATACCAAAAAGTTAAAGATTCCATTTTCTCTCTACTTTTTACACATCTTTTCGTAAAAAGTCAAAAAGCCACCCTAAACATACTAGTTTTTTTTACCTCATATTTTATCCAAAAAGTTACTAAAATAGCATGTTCCCAAACGAGGCCTTAGTAAACTAGAAATCCCCCAAAGAGACTTTGTCTTCCTAACCACAAGAATCGGACGCGGATTATTCGGTATGCCCTTTCTTTTGCTGCTTTGTTGCAGACCTTACCTCGGATGCCTACCAACGGTTATGTACCGCGTAGTGCCAACCGTAAGGCCTCAAAAGAGACGGTAAAATAGGGCCTTGCCCATTTCCTCCTTACACCAAACCACCTAGGATCTTAATACAACCGCTCCGTTCAAAGGTTCCGAACAACTACTTGCGCAAGACTGTAACTTTCAAAAGGGAACACGTCCCACCAAACAATTTAATTGGGACATAAATTTATCTCATAATAATACTCATGTGATCGAGACCCCATTAGCCACCCCATTAAGTTTTTGTTTAGATTAATGTTTTAAGTTAGTTAGTGCATGCAAGTAACAAGAATAAACTTGCATAAATGTAAGCATCATTGAAGGGCTAAAATATAAGATATACAACCATGGCACGTGTGATATCATATTAAGACACATTCATATATATTAACAAGCATATTCATGAACACAATAGCATGAAATACCAATGCCAAATAGAAATTTCAGATTTAGTACCCGTTAAAGATTAAAATCGAAAGGGTTGTTTCAGATTTTTCCCCAACTCGGCCTTCCGATGATTCGAAGAGAATTTAATTTAGTTTCCAGAACATAATTCAGAAATGGGATAGCTTTTCTAGATTTTTAGTTATTTAAGAAACACTACAGCGCTGTCCAGATTCGTCGACCGTTGCGAAAATCGGATTTTCTTACAAACTGCTCACTCTTTTTCAATGAAACCAATTTTAATTGAAAACTAACTTCTTAAGGAAGATTTTGGCATAAAAATGAGGTCCAAAATATTTTTCTACGTTTTTCTAGAATTTTTGAAAATTGGCTGTAAAAACAGATTTTTAATGCACAATACTCAAAATAAGAAGATTTGTGAGGAAAAGGATCCACTAAGGAAATTTTTCATTTCTTTTGTGTGATGAAAATATGCTAAATAATATATATTAAACTCAAAATTTTATCTTGAAGGTGTGCCTTTGGAAAGTTTGAGAGATCGGTATGAAAAAGATGGTTTTGTACCGAATAAGGGGAACTATAAGAAGAGTAGAATCATGGCTCAACACTTTTCATTTTTAACACAAGAAAATCACTAAAACACATCTGAAAACAATGTTTAGAGCCCTTAAGAGCATGTATTTTAAAAAGGAGAATAAAAGAGAGAGTTGGCCAAGTTGAACAAGATTGCTCTCCTCTTCCTTCCTCTCTCTCTCAAGACTTTTCTCTTGCTCTCCTTTCCCTCCTCTAGGCCGAATGTAGGTGTGTGTGTTGTTTGTGTATGCTATGCTAAGAGGGTGGTTGTATATATAGGCAAATTTGGTGTGAAAAGACACAAAAGCCCATTAGTTGGAATTGGATTGAGAAGTTTGGATTTACTTGAAGTCTAAAGGAATAGGGAGTGATTAGGGGACTTAATTATGTGATTAGACAAGATTTAGTTAGCCTCTAGTTGGAATGGAACTAGGTTGGGAACATAATCCCTTGGTTTAGGGGTACTTGGTACTTTTGCTTCTCGAATGCCATGATTACAAGTTTGAAAATTGATCCTTCGCACTCCCCTAGGTTGGCTGGCCATGGGGAAGGGAAATAGAGAATATTTTATTTAATATATGTGTACTATGGAGATATTCCCAATATATATATAGATCCACAAATTGATTTGGTGGTACTATAGTACAAAAAGTACATGTACTAGTTTTGGGGCAAATCTTGAAATTAATAGAAGAAGTGAGGGCTTGGAATTAAACTCATGTATTGGAACCTTATTTATATAGAATTAAATTAAATTAGGCTAAGGAACCTAATTCGGCTAGGATATTCTTGTTCCAATAAAAATTAAAAATACTAACAGGCAAGATTCAAAATAATTTAAGAAACTAAGGGGCTTTAAGAAAATAATTCAAACATAAGGGTTTTTAAAGAAAATACATTTTTCAGGGGCCTCACAACAAATCCCCCTTAAAACAATTTCGTCCCCAAAATTCAACTATATACTGCCTTCGAAAAGTTCGAGATAGTTTGCCTTCACCCATTCCTGGCGTTCCTTAGTAGATTCCTCAATTCCCCGATGACGCCAAAACACTTTTACTAAGTGAATCGTCTTGCGTCTAAGGTTCTTCTCTCGACTATCTTGTATCGCTACCAGTCCTTCTTCAAAGGTAACATCTTTGTCAAGACTGATTTCTTCCCAATTGAGGACATGTGACGGGTCGGCGATATATTTCCTCAACATAGATACATGGAAGACGTTGTGTATCCTTGCTAACTGCGGGGGTAGAGCTAGTTTGTATGCCACTTCGCCCACCTTTTACAATATCTCAAAAGGCCCAATATATCGTGGTGATAGCTTTCCCTTTCTTCCAAATCGTGCGATCCCACGCCTAGGTCGTACCTTTAGAAACATGTGGTTGCCTACTTCAAACATCAATGGCCTTCTCCTCCTATCCGCATAATTCTTTTGACGGTCTTGAGCAGTTTTTAACTGTTGTTGAATAAGTTTGACTTCTCAGTAGTTTCTAGAACAAGTTCGGGTCTTATCAGATTTGCTTCACACACTTCAGTCCAGCAAATCGGCGATCTACAAGGTCGTCCATATAATGCTTCAAAAGGCGCCATACTGATGCTAGCTTGAAAACTGTGGTTGTAGGAGAATTTAATTAGGGATAGGTACCGTTCCCAACTTCCTTGAAAATCCATTACACAGGCTCGCAACATATCTTCGAGTGGTTGGATGGTGTGTTCTGACTGCCCATCTGTCTGTGGATGAAAAACGGTACTGAAACATAACTCAGTACCTAGGGCTTCCTGTAGACTTCCCCAAAAATGAGAGGTGAACCGTAGATCACGATCTGACACAATAGATACCGGAAGTCCATGTAGTCGAATGATTTCCCCAATGTAGAGCCTGCACATAGACTCTAAAGTGTCGGTTATCTTAAAGGGTAAGAAATGTGCTGACTTAGTGAGGCGATCCACTATTACCCATATAGCATCGCGTCCTCTGGGTGTCTTGGGCAGCCCTGTCACAAAGTCCATTGTCACGTACTTCCACTTCCATTCGGCTATTGGTAGGGGTTGCAACATTCCTCCTGGTTTTTGATGTTCCGCCTTCACCTGTTAGCATGTTAGACATTTTGCTACAAATTTAGCCACATCTTTCTTCATTCTGCTCCACCAATATTGCCTCTTCAAATCTTGGTACATTTTAGTCCCTCCTGGATGTACCACAAATACAGAGTGATGACATTCCTTAAGTACCTTTTCTATAAGCAACTCGTTACTTGGTACAAACAATCTACCTTGATATCTTAAACTCCCATTGGGGTGAATTACCCAATTGAGCATTGGCTCTCCTGATTCCAGACGTCCCTTGATATAGGCTACTTCTTGATCGTGCTTCTGGGCCTCTATGATCTCACTCATCAACTTAGGCATCACTTTATGTGCACCAAGGTATACCTTTGTATCATGAGATTCTACTTGGATTCTAAATTCATTGAGTGTTTTAACCATATTCCATTCTTTGACGAAAATTTTAGCCATCATTCCTCTACTCTTGCGACTTAGAGCATCTGCTACTACATTGGCTTTACCGGGATGATATGAGAGAGTGAACTGGAAATCCTCAAGATACTCCATCCATCGTCTCTGTCTCAAGTTAAGGTCCTTCTGTGTAAATAGATACTTCAAACTCTTGTGATCTGTGAAAATCTCAAATTGTTCCCCATACAGGTAATGTCGCCATTGTTTTAGGGCAAAAACTACGGCCGCTAATTCCAAGTCATGTGTTGGGTAATTGCGCTCATGTGATTTCAACTGCCTGGATCCATACGCGACTACCTTTCCATTTTGCATGAGCACACAACCTAACCCTTCCTTAGAAGCATTGCAATACACAGTGTACCCCACTTCTCGTTTCGGGATGGTCAAAATTGGCACACTAGTTAATCTGTTCTTTAGCTCTTGGAAGGATTTTTCGCAAGTTTCATTCCACTCATACTTTACTTGTTTTTGCATCAAACAAGTCATTGGTTTAGCTAGTTTGGAGAAATCTTGGATGAACTTTTGGTAGTAACTAGCCAATCCTAAGAAACTATGGATTTTTGACATGGTTTTCAGTTGTCTCCAATCTAAGACTGCTTCCACCTTGGTTGGATCCACCGCAATCCCATTCTCAGACACTACATGTCTTAAGAATTTCACTTCATTCAACCAAAACTCACATTTGCTTACCTTGGCATATAACTGATTGTCCCTAAGAACTTGAAGGACAATCCTTAAATGTTGCTCATGCTCTTCTTCAGACCTTGAGTATACCAAGATGTCATCAATAAACACTACTACAAACTAGTCAAGATATGGCGTGAAAATCTTGTTCATTAGGCTCATGAATACTGCCGGTGCATTGGTTAGTCCGAAGGGCATTACTACAAACTCATAATGACCATATCTGGTTTGAAAGGCAGTTTTTGGTATATCATCCTCCTTGACTCATAGTTGATGGTAACCTGACCTAAGATCGATCTTTGAATAGCACCTTGAGCCTCTAAGTTGATCAAAAAGATCATCAATCCTTGGGAGTGGGTATCGGTTTTTGATTGTGACTCGATTGAGTTGCTGATAATCAATGCATAGCCTTAACAACCCATCCTTTTTTTTAGCAAACAGCATGGGTGCTCCCCATGGTGAAGTATTTGGCCTAATGAATCCTTTTTTCGAGCAACTCCTGTAGTTGTGTCTTTAATTCCCGTAGTTCTGTTGGTGTCATGCGATATGGGGCCATGGATATTGGGGTAGTTCCACGTTGTAGCTCAATACTAAAGTCTATTTCCCGGGTTGGTGGCAATCCCAGTAATTCCGTAGGAAATACATCTACATATTCATGTACTATGCGTGGAAGTTCTAATTTTTCTTGGCCCTCCTTGTTTAAAATCAAACTTGTTATCCTACCCGCAAGTTGATCATGCCACTGTGTCTTACGTTTCATTGAAGTCATGGAGTCTTGTCTATCCCCTTTAAACTGGAAACGTGTTCCATCAGGCGTGTGAGCTACTACTTTCCTCTGACGGTAGTTGATCACCACTCGGTGGGCAGACAACCAGTCCATGCCCAAAATGATATTGAAGTATGAAATTTCCATGACACGAAGGTCGCAAGTTAAGTGTAGGTTCGACATTCCTATTTTACAATCCTTATAGATCAATCCTATCCAAACGCATCCTCCCATAAGTTACATTACATTTAAGGTAGTCTCTAAGGATTCACATACAAGTTCTAATGACTTAGCACAAGCAGAGGATATAAAATAATGTGATGCACCAGTATCAAATGAAACATGCACCCAAGAATTGTATAATACTAAATTACCCTCAATTACAGACGGGTCCGCTTCTTCCTCTTGCAAGGCAAAGACTCTGCCGGTTGCCTTCTAGTTACCACTGGTCCTGGCGTTCTGAGTTCCTCCACTCTTCTGGTGCTGTTGCCCGGTAGATCGTGTCTTGTTTGTCCAAGACTTCTGGCCACCTAATGCCTAGGCATTTGCTCCGGAACCTCCTCCCTGGTATCCGAATAGAGGGAGTTGGGGGCATTCGCTCTTTTTGTGCCCCAATTGTTGGCAATGAAAGCACAAGAGTTGTCCTGCTGGCCTTAGTTGATAGCCTTCTCTCTGGATCTGTTGCTGCAGTTGTTGCCGTTGCTGTTATGGTTGTGGTCTGGAGTAGGGCTTTGAGGCCATATTTCCTTTCTGGTTCCTCTAAGGTCCAACAGATGTCTGATCCTCTTTCTGCTTGTTCTAAGTCTTCCTAGCGTCGGCTACTTCCCTTTCAGATTCTAATGTCGTCTCCAACACCTCGGCATACGAGTGGAGTTGTTGTGGGAGAACTCTTCCCCTGATTGTAAGTTCCAACCCCCACTTGAACATCCTTGCTTTCTCTTTGTCCTTTGCTACATATCTAGTTGTGTAACGGGCTAATTCTTCAAATTTTGCAACGTATTGGGTTACGATCATATTCCCTTGCTCCAAGGTTTGGAATTCCTTGACTCACTCTCGGCGGACTGTACTTGGAAAATATTTATTTAGGAATAGTTCCCTAAACTGGTTCTATGATAGGCTCGCTACATCATGGGTATTCTTGATTAGCTCCCACTAGTGGTCGGCCTCATCATCAAGCTCGATACTGCCAAAGCTATTCTATCAGCGGCTTCGGTTATGCCCATAGTGTCTAGCATTTTCTCTATCTGTCGAACCCAATTTTCAGCTACCTTTAGGTTTGGTACACCTGCGAACTTTGGGGGCCTCTGTTTCGAAATTCAGAAAAGAGTTGAGTCCTCTCATTCTACCGATTGTTCCTTAACTGCCCTAGTTCTTCCAGAATTTGATGACCTAGGTTATTGGGGATATTGGCCCCAGTGGGTACGGGTCCGTGTTGATCTCTGGAACGGTTCTGTGCATTGTTGTTGGTTTCTGAATAGTCATTAGCTCGTGTGTTCACCATTCTGTTCATGGTACGTGGTGAGTTGGTTTCCAGTTTTATAGCTAAAGAGAATCTCGTTACTTAGATTTGAAATGAAGGTTTAGTTTCCTTAGGGTGTACTAAAGCAAGTAATAGTCAACAATATAGATCAACACATCATTCATATATTATAATAGGCATCATTACAAAAGGGCTCCTAGATCGGAGTTACATTTAAAGGGCATCTCCAGATTACAAAGTTCAAGTTATCTTATTCTAAGGATCTCTATCAACGGATCTTACAAAAGTCTAGTTTTACTATCCCTCGAACTAGTTCTCGTTCCCCGACCAATCAAAGTCTTCTTCTGGGTCTTCATCAACAGAGTCAGTTGCTTGGTCCGGAGAGTGGGGGGTGTACATCGGTGAGAGGGAATTGTGTTCAGAAGACACCTCTATAGGGTAGGCTTGGGTTGCCCCTTGCTGTTCGGGTGGTTGCTCCATATCCATTGGTTGTTTGTTGCCTGGCCCCTGATAATGAGATTCGTAACTTTCGGCCTGCGTCGGTGGTTGGTGGAATGCTATGGTGGTCAAAGCTCGGTGAATCAAGGAGTCCATTCTCTGGTCATCTTGCTCCATTCGGATCGTCTTCTTTGCTGCCCGACTTAAAAATTGTAGGCGGCGTCGTACCAGGGACCTTTTTTGCTCCCTCATATAGTGGGAGTACTCTGTTTCCACCTTACGTATCTCTGTTATGATCATTTCTTCGCGCGGCAATCGCACAGCGTCGACGGCTAAAGTAGGGGCTGACAGACATGGCCCTCTTTCCCTGCATACGAAAAGTACCCCACGAGTCGAGACTGATGTCGGGTCTTGGATGGCCTCCCAATGACATCCTAAGGTGGAAAAATATTTTTATTTGTTAGTCTCTTTTTTTTTTTGTTTTTTTGATAGTTATTGTAGCGTGATAGTAGAATACATTAATGCATAAGGGTAAGGATTCTAGAGTGCGTATTGGGTTGCGCGGGTAGAGAGTTGAACGTAGGCTCTGATACCAAATTGTGATGCCCCAAATCTACACTATTGGTTATAGTCAAGGGAACGTCACTAATGAGTCCTATGGTCAATAACCAAGCAAGATCCCAGATCGTCGGAGGAGTCAAATTAGCTTCCCTTCTAAGTCCAACTTTCTTAGGCAGCGCACTACCTTTTTTATAGATCTTAAAAGGTATTGACACAAGGTCTCACAAGCAACGATAAGGTTTATACATATACATAGAATATAAATACATAATAATCACAAATATACTTAATTCAAAAGCTTGTTCCATTACATTACATCCCAAAAGAAAATTAAAATCTTCACTTGAGTCTTACAAAATATCAAAGGAAATTTCTAACTTTCCTAAGATAGCTAAAAGTCTTCGAAGGTTTCAGGCTCGTCGTCTCCATCTATAAGTTCCTCTTCGTCACCTGGCATGATACGCCATGAGCTTTGAATGCCCAGTAAACACACACACACACCCCGCCCCTTTTTCCCAATCCAATACGCATCACAAATATAACATCAAGTAGTAAAGCATGATACTCAACTAAATAAATAAA